TATAAAATTATTAGCTTAGTAATTAATCACAACTAGATTAGAAACACGATTTTTACATTATTATGTAATCAGTTATTAAGTAAGATCAAGTCCACGCCATAAATTAACCAGATAATAAAAAAAACCTTAGCGACTAAGAGACGTATGTACTTTTAGTGTTAATTGAGTACACGCACCAATAATATATGACCTATAATGCTAGATTTATGGAACACTCTATCATTAAATGGCTTTTTACATTTTAAAAGACAAAATATATTCTTTATATAATAACTATAATTTTATATTTAATAAATAGTTATCGGTGACGATCGTGATACTTTTATTAAGAGAATTCATTAACGTGATATAATATTCGTCGTACATAAACGTAACGTACACGCTAATTAATGATATGCGTAGCCGCATAATGAGTATCACGAGAACGGCACCATGCATCGTTAAGTCTGTTCTTTATTCTTGCACTCTCTAAAAGTGCAGCAAACGCATATTTGTTTCACTTCAACACTACTGTGCACCAGGTTCAGAGAGTGCAGGAATAAAAAAAACAGAGGATGGTTATCTAAACATTTAATCATGAGTCAAATGTATCGCACCGTCATGAGATTTTCACGAATGTATGCAAAATCCGAAATGTATATTTTCGTTTCAGGCCAGTGATATCGGTTATCGCAACAATACGCATCGATTATTTCCGGAATATGGAATGAGTGATGCGATAAATGCTCTCGTGATAACGCAGTTTACAATATATATATCGATTGTACATAAAGAGAAAAATTTATTGATATTTGTAAACTATATAATTACATGTTACTATAATTACGATTACTGCTGCTATAAATAACACATGTAAAGTTCTATCAATAAATGCGTACAATTGGTAACAAAAAATGACAATAAAATGATTGTAGTTTAAAACAATAATGTAACTATAATTTATATATAATATTCAGTTTTACTAAACATAAAAAAATGACTATAAATTGTAGTTATTGTAACTGCAAATTATTGTAACTGCAACCGTTTTTATGATAATAATAATTACAATCACATTCTTACAGAGTTGCCAATTATATGTTTGTTGATAAAAAAAAACTATAAATATAGTTATTATTACTAACTATTATAGCAGCAATAATCATAATTATAATAACATAATTATAGTTATACATAATCAAAACGTTTCTCTCAATGTACAAACGGCATCGTAAAGCCGTAGCCCATCGTCGTCAATTCTAGGGCGACGTCCCAGCGCTGAAATCATCCAAGATGCTCGCGATGCAATCATCTTCTCGACCGACCATATTGGAACTATGTCACTCGTGGGCGGCGCGGCCACGGTTACGTCGCGATAAATAGTAAACGCTCGTCATACGATCATATACCCTCGATCACGAAGATGTGATTAACTCCTCGTCCGTCCTGAACGACGCAATTCACGATCGACGGCAATCGTTGGTTAATTCAGACGCGATCGAGGTAAAGTAAATATAACACTACTATAAATATTAGTACACATAATGGATCATTCATGTCTTGCATATTTTTTCCTCATTGAAATACCAGAGGCACCTGAATCAATAACGGTCTCTATCTTTTCTATTCTTTGAAACACAACCTTACTTTCTACAATAAAATATTAAAATATATATACCTAATACTTTTTAGAATGCCTGTTTGCGTTAATAATATTAAATTCCTTGTCGATTAATTTGTGACACTATTACTCTTACTTTGGTTTAAGATTGTTTTTCAAAACTGATGAATAATCAACGCATAGTTTGCTTCAACTGTTATCCATCGTGAAGGAACGCGTTCACGTCTCGGGCTTTTGCTGGGCAAACGATGTAAAGAGAAACGAATCACACAGAAAAATTAATTCGTAACTTCAGTGGATGCGTTGTATTTATAATCTGACGTGACAGCGTGGATGATTGATCGACGACATTTCGTCGCGATACGGTGCGCATTGACCGGCTGATAGCGCACGCGATAGCTCTTCATTCCACGAATTATCGTGGTTTTTTTTTTTATCTTGACGTGAAGAATTACCTGGTGCATCATGGATGATAAGGAGAAAGAAACGCGCGCGGCGTCTTATCCGATAACACGGATGACGTAGCTTAATGTAGAGCAATTTCGCGCCATTCGGCAAACAGACGAGCTCTTGTCTACAGACGCGCGGCTGTCAACGACATGATCGATCGCGATCAGGTCTGTGACCATGAATTTCGTCGCCTGGGGCAGAAATTGTCCTGCGACTATACTATCCAATTCGATCGAATCAATTTCCACAATCACGGCGGGTCGGGTGGAGTAATAGGGATGGAGAAATAATCAAATAATAAACGAGTAATCTAATAATAATGATAATGCTGGAATGTTAAAAATGTCCTAAATCACTCTTCAAAAAAGTGGTTATTATACTATTGTTCCCGAATAAATTTGTATGTAAACACCGTTTTATAAAAATTCAGAATTTTTTTTGACAACTAGATAATTAGTGTAATAGTAGATGACAATGATATAACAATGCCTTCGTAAAATTCTCGAGACACGCAGTCATAATCTGTATAGTTTTGCAGCAGACTGTCCAGATAGAAAAAGAAAAAAAAAAATGTTATCAGAGATTGTAGTAATGAGTACAACGAGATTTCATCGTCGCGACGTTGACTTGGTCAGTTCTCGGTCGGCATCAATTTTTCCTGAAGGGGCCATCGATCTCCATACACCGGTTAAGTTAAATCGCCAATGCGATGTTTACGTTTTGTGCGGAAAGTTCCCCGGCGTTTCGTGCCGACGTTCTGGCGGCCACGCGCGAGGAGGAACGAGACGCGCGTGTTGCGCGGCAATAGGAACGTACACGCGATAAGGCTCGAAAACGCCCTCGTAAATCGTGTCCGCGGGCACTGATAACGGGGCGCGTTCGCGTGACCTTCTCGCTCGTTCGCAGAGCGCTTTAAAGCCCGCTCTAAGGCCGCTTTCAGAAGCGGTGACTGATAACGAGCGCGCTCGTCCACTCGCTCGCTACCGCTGTCGCCGCCGCGCTGCCGCAAATTGCGCCATTCACGTCTCAATAGCCGACCTTCACCCCGTACATTTAGCATCTGCATACGATGTATATGCGTCGACCGTGCGGCGCGTATCGGTCGTTTGGTGCAGGACGGCAGGCTATCGCACGAACCACGGGTGACTCACTTCGCTCCAGCATGTCGCGACGGATACGGCACGCTAATTCAAATGCGGCCGTGTTGTGTCCACAATATGCTCGAGTCGATGAAAACGCAACAACCCGAAATCTCTGGCCTTTCGATAGACGAGAGAAAACGACTTTATTGAAATTTCTAAAAGGTAAATACAGATCTGAAAATGATTTTGCTGGACCATCAAAATAATCACGTAGGAAACTCAAATGTAATAAACAATGCTGTTAAAACTAGCTAAAAAGTCAGCTCGATATAGATTTGAAAAAGAATTTTGTGGAAATGTCAAAATATATATAATTATGTAGCGATGTAACGCGATAACTGGTTGTTAGAATGTCAAAACCTTTTGCAGCATTGTTTATTATGCTTTCGATTCCTATTATATTATATAATTACTTGGATGATCCAACAAAGATTTTTTCAGATTTGTATTTACATAGCTAAACTTTTAGATATTATACTTCAATAAAAAATTCTTCGTTTCATATAATTATTTTAACAATCCAATAAAATTGTTTGCAAACTTGCACCTAGCTAATTTTTAGATACTTCAGATCGCCCTGCGTACGCATCTCGTGATTTTTAGACTTCGCAATAAACGAGTCAAATTTTACTCGACCATAAACCATACTAATTTTTTTCTGAAAGACGAATGTATTTAATTTGCATCTTTACGAGTCGTTCACACAACAGGAACTACATAGAATTAATTGTTCGCGCGAATATCGTTGAGTTTCACGGTCACCATGGAGAAAAATAATGTGTCATTGATGAGAGCAGATTGTTGAATGTGGTGTAAAGTAAAACCGAACCTTGAAACCGCGGTGCTAATCGACAGTCTAGCACCAGCACGCTAATTATTATTATCGTAGAATAGTCCACCTCGTTTAGATATTTTTAAGTTATAATTTAACGCCGGTACTTGGAAATAGTAAAGCGTTAATTAGCACGGCCACGATAGCCCGCGAAAACCACATTCCATTTCGATTCGCTTCAATGCACTTAATGACCCTGTTATGAAGAATCGTTATGTAGAATCGTATAATCGAAATAACATTACCCCGCTTTCTTCGTCGTAGAGATACGATTTTTCTTCCGAGCGAGGTAACAATCACACGAGGTCAATTGCTTTCGCAATCTACAAACCACTAATGAAACGGAATTTTTATCAATTTAAATGACGTATTAGCGAGAAAAATATACGGCTGAATCATTCACGTCAGCGATCTCGCGTATTGTCAGTGATCTCATAAATATTAGATTACTTTTTAATGAGCGAGTCGTTGTTTACTTTTGTCACACATAATTACACGTGGAATTCGTCAATTAATTCGAAACATTTGACAAAGTTCATTCCCTTGTCTACAACTCAAACGTATTCCATGAAAATCCGTGCCGCGATTCTCTTGTCCTGATTTCATTCGGCACGACTCATTTACTGATCTTAATTAAAAATAGAGATCTAACGACCGCTCGTATAACTATAATATATAGTATATAACAAGTGCCGTGTAATGTAGTTTTTCATTAGAGAATTTTATTATAACTTCTTAAAACACTATTAAATATTAAAAAATTTTAAATAATATCCTCTAAAAGCTAATGGCCACGCATAAATAATTCAACAACGAGTCTTCAAGTAATGACAGTAATTTGGCCGGCAAGTTTCACTTATGCTGTTAATAGATCGCAATATCTCGTTTCTCCCGTGATCTCGTGAAATTAGCGCATGGCGATCTATCGCACATCGATTACGTAGATGATGATAATGTTGTGGATATATATACGTACAGTTACCACGTGCCCAATGCTGAGTGACGGCCTGAGTCCCCTGGATGATGGCCGTCACCGACATCATCGGCTTCTCCTTCTTCATCATCTTGCCCGGCTGCCTGCCCGATCTACTTTCACTCGTCACCGTGGACCGATTTATTTTGCCGACCTTTTCACACACACGCACACCACCACCACCCCCCCGTGACACACCACCCTGCGTGGCTCGACCTTTTTTCGTTTCTTTTCAGACGGAATCCTCGCCCCGTCCGCACCGCGTCATCTCTCGCGAAAGAAGTCCTGCCTTCCACCTTGTCCTGCCCTCCCTCGCTCGAGCTGAACTCCTTCTTTTGGTATCGATTTGGTATGGTTGCTCACTGCACTTCTTTGGTTCGTTCGTGATCGATCGCGCGACCGGTTGCTTAACTATTCTACAGTAGAAAGAGAAGAGTGGCTTTCAGAAGCAGGAAGGGATAACGACGGACACGAAGCAACGAAGGAATCCTTCACCGAATCGTACAGCGACCTTGAATCCCACGGCATTCACCGACAAGTAGCTCATGTTCCCTTCTAGTGAAGGGCCTGAGGTAATAACGCACTAAGTCACGTTCTTAATTATTATGGTTCCCGATTCGAAACTTTTGCTCTTTCACATTCTTTTCAATTCATACATTGAGATTCGTATACTATTTATGCCACTTCTATTAATATTGATTTATTTTAATTCCAAGATTTAATTTACCTTTTATCTTCTTCTAGTTCTAAGAATTAGAAAAAGTTAAAAAAAAAAAAGTAAATTAAACTGAAGAGATTAAAGTTAATCTACATAGATAGAAACGAAAGAGAGATATAAATTTTGAACGCAGAAAGCGTTCAATCGTTTAAAATGTATGTGACGAGGAAGAAATAAATATCCAAAAACGCATTTTGAAGGGAAAGTATTAATTTTAACGAAACCATCAATCTGCGAAATAGCTTCAAACGGAATATATTTTGTAACATAGTTGTGAAAGCTTATTATTATTATATCAATGCGCATAACAAGTTACTTTTTATCGCGATGAATGCAAGCGATATTATGACGGATTACTGCAATCCTTTATATCAGTTGACTTATTTATAATCCCGATTTGGAATGCACGTCATTATCTCTGTTCGACTTTATCATCGATCAAATAGTAGGACCGCGCAGTTACCTCTGATTAATCGCATCAAGATTCAACTGCGAAATATAAAATTACAGCAAATACGGTATCTTCCGTAAACACACTATTTTCCGCGCTATCAAATTGTACAACAAATGTACACGCATATAATTTAGAATAATTTTTCTCTAAAAACAAGATCAGCGCTTCGCGACGATTGGACGTAATTTCGATATGCTTCTTTGGAATACAACGAAACGAGGATTCGAGAAAAATCGCTTTAAGTGTGCCAGGCGTGACGCGTGTAATTAGTCACGGGTTTAAACAGCGCTTTAATTTTTACCATGGCCCGGATTGCAAAACAGCGTAGCCATCTCGCGCGTTTCGCCTCTCGATTGGTAGAGACGTCCTTTCTCTGTCGTTCATCAAATTATCCTGTCGCCGGAGATCGGACGCGAGAAAGAGAGATGGAGACGCGCCACATGTTATTCATGATCAATTGAATCGGATTGTATTGGACGATTCGGTACACACAGTCGTCCGATCGCTTGGAAATATCTGAATATTATATTGTCGGAGTATCTCCAATGACGATTAAAATTCGTTTCGAGCATGGTAGAACCATAATTCGAAGGTAATAATAATAACTTTATCAAGATGCGCAAAAACCTACATGGGGAGAAACGTTATTACATAACGGATGGTTCCTCAAGAAGTGAGGCAACACTGCTTATAAACTCAAATGTATGGCATTCGGAGAAAGAGAAGTGGTAGTAGTGGCAATTATAGAAGTAACAACTATACAAGTTTTATATGTAAATACATAGTTGAGAAAACTATTTTATAGTTATTGTAACTATAAAATAATTTATTCAACTATGTGGAAAGAATTTATTTTAAATATAGATATATACTCAGATTTAAAAAATGCTGTAAAAAAATTCAACGTTCTGGCAAACTAACTTGAGTTCACTGAAAAAAATTATTCATTCGATTAGATTAATTTCGTTAGAAAATGTATGTATTTAGTATACAAGTCAAATATAATATGTTTATGTTTAATTCAAATACATTTCATTGAAAGAAATAAAGACAATGTAAGTTAATTTAGTCAAGTGAACAATTTTTATTCTCAGTGTATATAATTAATTGTCATAACCCAACAAAATTATTTTCAGAAGAAACACCTAGTATAATATAAAACTTGTATAATCGTCACTTATACAGTTGCTACGTTTTTCTCTTTGATGATCGTGATTTTCGAAGCTGCGAGATGAGCTAGAGAAGCACTCCAGTGAATGTGCGGAGTTAACCATCGAGACCGAAGGCTTGTCGGTGCAGACAAGCGTATTTTACGCTTTTTGCACGTTTAAGAAGAATCCGAAGAGAAAGTCCCGACTAAAGAGAGATAGAGAGAAAGGAAGGGTAAGAAAGGGAGAACTTGCCCTCGCGAGGTCGCCGCCGGTCGAGAAACTCGGTGATTCGCGGGTGGCGGGCGGCGTATCCTCCCTCGGGAATCTTCTCTTCTCTCGCGGGATATCTTCGCGAGGTAGCGCGAAGACAAATGTGCTGACTCAAACCCACCACCACCGGCTGGCCTTCGCTCGCGAGGAAAAAGCGCTCGTCGAAGAGGCCGGCAAAAAGTGCGCGACGTGTCGGTGACTCCGCCGAGACGTTTTCCCTCACGTAGAAGCGTCCCACTGTCGCTTTCGTTCGTGAGCGAGAGGGGATAATGTCGGGACTAGCGCGGCATAAATCTCGCTTTTTTTTCCGATAATTTATCATTCGCTTGTAAAACAAAAAAAAAAAAGCGGTAAAAAGAAAGAGAAGAAAAGGGGATGGACGCGACGGAGAGATGAATGTGCCTACGTGAAAGCCGAGGACCTCGGCAATGTTTACGCGACGCATCGCGCGTGGGCGAGCGGTTATTTCTAAAATATATACGGCTCGTATCTGACCGTGAAAATCTGACCGCGCGGAGAGAAACCCTCCTCTCCTCCCCCCCCCTTCCCCGCCGGGGAATAATTAACATGAAATTACGCGATGTGTGTACAAGACGAGAAACTTGATATATTAAATAATCGAGCGATAAATCGAGGTCGCGTTACAAGATTGTAAAAGAAGAAAAGAGCGTTGGCGGTCGCGTTCTTCAGACGGCGAAAAACGCGCGGCTCTTCTTCAGCCGAGAGAGAGAGAGAGAGAGTCTCTAAAAATATTTATCACCGGCTTTATGCAGTTTCTTTCACGTCACGTCGCGATCTCGAAATAACAGCCGGCGATTCGCACGCACACGCTCGCGACCTTGACCACACACGCACGCAGGAAATGCGATTGCCTTGTCTTGCGATCGACATCGTGCTAACTCTCGGGAAATAGAGAGAGAGAGAGGGAGAGAGACTTACGTAATGTGTACCAGGCAATTGCACGAAATGTACATGCACGGACGTCACGTGCGTGTGCACGCTGTTAGGGCCGTTGTCGTTGCACTCGTCATGCGACAAGGTTGCCAGCCATGTCAATTGGCTGCGGGAATGTCTCCGGAGTTAGTTGATAGATAAATCAATACGTCGCGCGAGACAAAGTTGGAGCGAGTCTGTAATATTGAGCCTTTGAGTGAAAGCCCTTGATCGCTAGAATTCTCCCGAGTGCTTCAATTGTATGTTTGACCCTTCATTATTCAGGCAGGGCTGTTTCAGAATTACTCTCGCTTTATAATTTCGCTAAGTGTACGAATGCTATGTTTATACACGTTATTATATCTAGAGTAAATTGTTTCACAATTTAGAAAAAGTTTCGCATTTATCTTTATCTAGAAGACGTACAACATATATTATCAATCCTCGTTTAATTGTACTTCAAAGAAAATGGAATTGAGATATAACGTAGAGATGTGAGAAACAACCCACACGATTAATTACACTAAAACGAGAGTAATGTAGGATTAATAATCTTGTACAACCTAACTTGAACTCGGAGATTTCAATATAGAAACCGTCGGGATTAGATTTTCAGTTTACTGAGTCGTCAAAAATGTTTCGACTTATCATTAAAAAAACCTATTTTTACATATATTATACATTTACTTGGGGAAACAACAATTATTAATAATCATTCTTTAGAGGATAATTTAGAATTTTTTTGACAACCTTACAATATGCAAATAATTTAACAGATTTTCTAATTTTCGGGTTGATGACTTTCTATCTGGACTCGCATCGAGTGTTCGATCTAATAGCGAATTCGGTCATTCGATTGCATTATACTAGATTAATGCATATTAAAAGCTGCTGTACATGAAATTAATAAAAGCATAAATATTTTAATCGATTAAATTCCCAATAATAACATTTCATATTTTTAATAAAGTATACATTTATTATTTCATTATAAAAATGGATTATATTATTAATCTAATTATTCATATACATATGGACTTCTATAATTTATATGTTGTTAAATCTGGTTTTTTCTTCACTTTTTTTTATTTAATGACTGACACGTCTTTAATTTACATGCTTCAATTTTACTTCATAGTGGAAACTTTGTCCATTTTGTAGTAGTTATCGAACAGTTTCTATTCTTGTGACATCTTCTTATGCAAGGAATTCCTCCTAGTCGACAACATCGAACATCTCTGCACTGGATTATGAATATGTGAAGATGGCTAAAATGGGAACCGAAACGTATATATTATTATTCATTACCAAAGAAACCTCTACCAAACTTATTTTTGCCCTCCAATAACCGCGCTTGACATATTCGTTTCTTCCTTATCAATTATTCCTTATCAATGTAAATCTCTAATATTTTATATTAATTGTATTACGGGACTGCACTTCGATATTTGATATAAAGCAGCCTTTAACATTTACTGATCCAGTGTAGTGCGAGTGATCGAATACACCATAACCGATTGATCGTCTAAAACCAGATCGGTCTGTTCCGCGTTCCACCGTCACTCGATTGTTCTCAATCATGAAGCAGAATCAGTCATCCGTGTCGATCGTGGGTGGATCGCAATACAGCGAGCGCGACCGATCGCTCACGTCGAGGTTAAAGTTCAAGGTTAACGCCAAGACTGCGCCCGACCTGTGCTATAGCGCGGCAAGCGAATCGATACCGGGTGCTATAGGGATTCGTCGACGAGAACCGTGCGATCCAAATCGTATTGTGACTCGAGCGAAATAAAATCAAGCTTTGCGATACAATGTTCAAAATTATATACAATTTCCTGGATCGAGGAGTAGTTATCTGAAGTGTTCTTTATACCGCAGCAGTGGAAAAAT